GGGAAGCTCTCCTTCATCTGGAAAACATTCTCTGGCTTTAGAAGGGAAAAATAAATTCTTTTCCATCAATAATACCACATTTTGTATTTATTTGTAACCCTTACTAGGATACATGTCCTCCCCAGTGAGGTAACAAGAGTCCAACTGTCTTATTTATTTTTACTGTATATTTTTAATTTATGCTTTGATTACTGAAAAACCACACTCCTACTTTTGCTATCAACTAACCCCAAGTTTTGGCTTTTCTGAGGTGTCCTCAGTGGTTTTCGGCTCTTTCCAAACTCCTTCCCATCTCCTATTTTCTTCTTATCTCCTAGGCATCTGCAGCACACTTATGTTACCAGTGCTTTTAAAAAGTACCATGCTTTCAGTCTTTTAAAAAGTAGGCCCTTTAAAAAGAGACCACAAGCATGCGTGCTGTCTGTCTTCCTTTTGAAGAGGAATTGTGTTGCAATCTCTCCTTAAATTTAAGGTGACAAAAAAAATCTCTGTGCTAAAAACAGCATACAGGGAGAAAAGATTAACCTCTTTCCTAAAAGCGCGTCTGGTTACTCCACCATGCAGGATGTCTGACGAGCTGGCTTCCTCACAGCTGCAGTCTCTGGATACCTGGCACAGCTCTACTCGTCTCTCACCAGCTCCTCCTAACACACCTCCCACATGTGCTCACACTGTTTCTCTGAGGAGACTCAGGAGCAGAGCAAGACCATCCACCCAAACAGGTGGCCAGTGAGGCCATTTCAGCTGGCTGAAGAATGTCAGTCACTCAGGGTTCTCTCTTTCTGATCAATTAAGGTTTATATGCAAGACTAGGGCTTTTCCTCCCCCAAGGTGATGGTCATGGCTTTTAATAAAATTTCTAGTTTCAGCCAAGAGACTGATGAATATAATGTGAATGAAAAATATTTCTGCAAAACCCTATAATCATTTTGACATTAACATTTGGTTCATTATCAACATTCTGAAAAGTGACAGGCCATTTCAGAAGAGTTGGGAAAATTTTCAAACATTACAGACAAGTCTTTTAATCTGCCCATAAATCTACCTTGCCTGAGGCTATACACCAGAGTAGATAAAGCAGATCAACAAAAACAACAATACATATGCTCCTGTCACCAATTAGAGAGAACATGTTTGTTTTCTGTGTCAGAAAGCAAGCCCAAAGAGAGGACTTGTAGTGTTAATTCCATTAATGGACCAGCAGGAAGAAGTTACTGCAGCTACTTCTCTGGGCAGCAGAAGTCTAGGCTTAGAGCCAGTGGATTGGAGGGTTTAGGTGAAACGCCACCTATCCCAACAGCCTCCGGGGATGGCAGGTATTTTCAAGGTCATCCACTCCACATGGACGCTTGTGTTGTCCAGGTGTCTGTGTGTGGCTGTGGTAGGGGCAGGCTGGCAAACTGAAAACCAAAGCAGGAAATAGGACCTAAAACACACAGCTAACTACAGCTACCTTTGCTGTCCTTCTTCCCCAGAGCTGGTAGCCACTTAAAAAGCCACAATGGCCACAAGAAACACAGTCATAAAACTTTTCTTGTCCTTACAATTCATAAAACCAGGGTTCTATTTTGCCTTCAGGCTGCAAAAGTAATAATATAGTTACCTACACATAAATATCAAACTGGAAAAAATTCATGTCAACTGAAGTATCAAAGAGCGTCTTGTCTCTGTCCCTATCTGCATGGAAAATCTGGACATTGAACACAATCTGAACATTTAAGAGAAATCTGCAAGATGTAGAGGTTACTTTTTTATGGAATGTATAACAGTTTAGAAATGGTGGTCATCCCCACAACCTTACCTACCTCACACCTTACCTGCAGGAACAGAAGTTTTTAGCCTCTATCTAGTTCTAACTTCCCAACTCTGACCTCCCAATTCAGGAGTTTTAGAAATTGACCATGTGGTGAAAAATATTTGGGAAGATGCCTTTCTAGAGTTCAGAATTAGAATTTTGGATTGCATTCTTCCTTATGAGGAAAAATAAATGAATGGTAAAGTGAAGTTATTAATATTACAAACTAAAAGGCCTTAGACTGCTCTCATAGAGCCCAAAAACTATGATACCATATCTATACGGAAGACAATGTATAAGCAAACTTGAAAAGCCAAATTTATTTAAAACATTATCTGTGCTGCACCATATTGCAATTTTAAAAGCACCTCATATATTTAAAAATTCTTCCTCATGCAGATTTTTTGTTAATCCTCCAAACAAGGCAATGTGTTGGACAGAGAACTAGTTATCATAGTTTCACATTTCAAATGGTGGTGCCACTGGAAAAGGCATGCACACACTGCGCAGCCCAGTCACCAAGGAAAGCCTCCCTTCACTCAGAGAGCCAGCCCCTCCCTCTGTAGCTCCCACTCCATACCGCTCCTCCTTCCACCTCACCAGGCTCTGTCCGAAGTCTGTGTTCTCACATTCCTGCTAACACACTTCCACTTCCATGAAAACAGCTTCAGTCCCCCCTCGAATTGCATCTGCTTCTTCCTTTGACCTCAGCACGGTATCGCTTTTCTCAAATGAATAAACAGATTTAGGACCAGAAGATTTGGTTTGGGTTCTGCTTGGTAATTTACTATCTGGATGAACCAACAACCAAAGTAACCATAGCAATACCTGGAACACCAGTTTCCTTATTGGTATACTTGAAAAATAGAATATATCCCCATATAATTATTAGGAAGTTTAATTTAGATATAAGAAAAAATTATTGAAAGCCCTATGCAAGTCTGCTTGTCTCTCCCCTGCCACACATACCTCCTTTCTTATGTACAACTTTTATTTCCCTATCTCTAACAAATATTTGGTTTTGTTGTAGCACTTCATCCTTCACAAGTACACATTCAATACAAATTTAGAAAGTAAGTGATCAAATGTATGACTACATTAACCCAGGTATGTTTCATAAAGTAGAATTCTCATCACCACCTATTAAATAAGAAAGGCAAAAACACGATTTCAATCCATCTCCAATGTTATTGCCCACTCTGCACTCATCACACATGCTAGCCTAGACATATTCCTGACTCCCTCAATATACCTGCACATTTTTGTCACCAGGTACTGGGCCGAATTACTGACCTCTTCATGTCTCCTGTTTATTGCAATGGCACTCACCCTCACTCACCCAGCTTAGATGCCACATTTACCAAGAAGCTTTCCTTCATCTCACTCTCTGGAGACAAGTGCTTCCCACTCCGAGGTCCATAGCATCGGCTCCTGGCTCTCACAGTCCTTTTCATCTGAGTACACATTAATCTCCCTGTGGTGCACTATCTAATTGAGTGCATCGTAGTCATGTTAAAGTCAGCATTTATGTTTTAGTTCTATTTCTATCCTGCCAAACATGTAGTAGAATATCTTCCATACTACAGACATTCAAAGATCTGCCTTCCAATAGTGAGTATACAGACAATAAATGTGGCTTCAATTTCCAACTGCATATTTCTGCCTAGTAAATTGTCACCACGTTAAATATAATAACTCCATGCATGCAGTGAGATCACCATGTATCATTTGAACACATTATACTTCATATTCCCATCAAGACAGGACACCATGGGCAGAAATATGTCTTTGTCAAAATTTAAAAAGCCACACATATTTAAACAAACTACATATAATCTATTTTCATCTATAGTTTGAATATAACATGTTATTAATTAAAATTTTATCAGAAGTGAATGGTTTATTTAAAAAGTTAAAGCACTTAATACGACTTCTGGTTAAAGGACTGAATGATTTTAGAAAACAACTAAAGATTGACAAAGTCTAAATTGAGATCATTTGTATTTTTAACTATATTTAGTATCCAAGTTAACATGAGTTATCAGCAATCATTACTGCTCTTGTCTTCTAGATTCTGTGTATAACAAGAGTACACAACCTCACTGCCCAGGGACATTTCACTCGCACGTGCTTCATCGCCTGCTGTCAGTTACTTCCTGCGCTGTCCACAGACATCACGCATGGACAGCCCACGAACAGCTGTCCTCCAGATGGACAACTGTGCCTTCTCTGAGTGGGACTATCAGATCACTTTTCAGAACGAACTCACACTCTCTTACACCCTCCACCTCTTCATCCTCACTTATTTATAGCATTATCCTGGCTTTACCGCCAGTTAACTCCAGGGAATTTCCTGGTTTTTCCATGGTTTTGTGGGGGTTCTTTGGTCCCTCTGCTCTAGAAAGCACACAAATCTCTATGCATTTGAACACTACTTTATTCTAGGCCTCTGAGTACTGAGTTAATACTGGCTGAGAATTACCTTTCCGTCTTCAACCTCAGTAAGCAGCTTGCCCTCCCCCAGGGCACTGCTGGCCTCTGTGTGATCTGACGGCATGGAAGGCTGGCCGAGGCACTGGCCTGGAGACACCACAGGTGACCTTCTGGGAGGACCCCCAACAATGCTGAGCCTTCTCTAAAGGTTTCACTCTGGGGCTGACCATGCTGCTGCTCATGACTCTCAACTACTGAGGGAAGCTTGCCCTCTGAGAGGATCAGATCACTTACAGGGAAGGGCAGACCCAAATTGAAAAATTCTTCATTTTATAGTAACACTGTATTTCCCTGCTGTTTTCCTAATACAAATGTAATCCTAGTTAAGCATACCAAAGTTTAATAGGTAACAGCATCAACTTCAAAGTTAAATATCACTGTACACTAAAGAATAATGTAGACTTTACACACAGAACTGAGCAGGCGCTCAGCATCTTTCAGTCAACTCATGCTTGTTTTTAATGTCAAGCTGTGGCAATATTTTGGGTTTATTGCTGAGAAAATATAAAACACTGATCTATAATTGACAGAAAAAAAGAAAAAGGTAGATGAGAAGGAGGAAGGTAGAGAAGAAGGGAGAAAGGAAGGTGGGAAGGGGGGGAAGGGAAGGGAATAGGAAGCAGAGGAAGAGAAGCCCATCCTATCAGTAACAAATCAAGTATCACATATGCAAGGGGCCCACATGCCGTAAGACCTGGGTAAATGCACTCACCTCGGTTAAATGAGGATTGGGATTAAAACCACAGAGGCTACAGACAGTGGTTTGACACTCAGTGCATGTGCTAAAATTGGCCTTTTCTGGAACATGCAGCAGAAGTTCAGTGGTGTTGCAAAGAGGACAGATGGCTTTAGAGGAGCCTTGTACTGGAATCTGAGTTACAGATGGAGAAGTTGGTGGTGGTTGTGGAGGTTTCCCAGTTACTGGTTTTGAAGGGTGCTGAGATAAGGGTTTTGCTGGGCTGGGCTGCTGGACTGGGGGCTTTGCTAGGCCAGGCTGTTGAGCTGAGGGTTTTCCTGGACCAGGCTGCTGAGCTTGGGGCTTTGCTGAACCTGGCTGCTGAGCTGGAGGCTTTGCTGGACTCAGCTGCTGAGCTGGAGTCTTTGCAGGCCCGGGCGTCTTGCTTGGAGACTGTGGTGCAGGCTGGTCAGCAGTGGGTTTTGGGGGCCCCGGCTGCTGGGCCGGGGGCTTCACTGTCCCTGGCTGTAGTCCTAGGGCCTTTGCCAGCCCTGGTTGCTGGACTGCAGGTTTTGCAGGCCCAGGCTGTGGTTTTCCAGGTCCAGGCTGCTGGGCTGGAGGTTTCCCAGGACCTGCCTGCTGCAGGGGTGGTTTGGACGGGCTCTGCTGTGAGGGCTTAACTGCCTCTCCATGCCCTGGGTCTGGCTGCTTAGCCTGAGGCCTGGCTGCATCACGCTGAAGTGGCAACTTTGCCGGATCTGTCTGAGCCGGTAACACAGGCCCCTGAACTGGCTTTCCTGTCGCCGGAGGCTGTGGTTTAACTTTCTCAGCTTGCTGGGAAGATACTGATTTGGGAGAGCCCTCTTGCTGAACAGAATCCCTGGCAGGTCCTTGCTGCTTAGGAACAGGCTTGGGTGACTGCTGTGATGGAGGTTTTGTGATTCCCTCAGGTTTTCCTTGCTCCTTGGGAGCTGTTCTTTGTTTCTTGGTGGTTTCTTCCTGGGATGTCTCAGAGTCTGATATCAAATCAAAAGGGTTGAATTTATTTACAACAGAGGAGACAGCACTTAAAGGGTTAACCTCTGAGAGGAAACCAGGCATCATACTGGATTTGTGCTCCTCCTTGAAATCAGTTCTGGATTTAGATTCTTTCAAGCTAATAGTGGAAGCGCTCCTTCCAGGCAATTTCTGCTCCAACCTAAAAGTGTCTGTAGTTCTGCTCTTACTGAGACCAGGCTGAACAGGATGCCCAGGGTCTGGAGGTTTCCCAGGTTGCTTTGAAGGGTGACTACTATCCAACTCTTGTTTCCTGGAAGAGTAGAAGAAAAACAAGTGAAATGGTGGACTACTATCCAACTCTTATTTCCTGAAAGAGTAGAAGAAAAACAGGTGAAATGGTGGCAGTTCCTTTAAATCAAATATAAAACAGTATTGCTTTCTTACATTCTCAAAATTATGTGTATCAATATGAGTAGAGGCAATTGTATAGCATCCTGTGAGTGATCAGAAAACTTAATGCTTTCATTATTTCTTTAATTAGGAAGAATTTTCAACACAGAAGAAAAGAAAAAAAATACAGTGGTACCTCAGTTCACAAACAATTTTGTTTGCAAACAATTTGGTCCATACACAAAAACATTTGGCAAAATTTTGTTTTGTTTGCAAACTCTACATTGGGTGATAAGCACACTGCAATGGCAGCCATCTTTCCTGCATAAATACACATGTGGCCATCTCTTCTAAAATCATGGAACAAATGAAGTTCTGACCTGAGGTACTACTTTATTTATCATGGACGGTGAAATTAAAATATGTAGTAAAGTCTTATAATGAAAATAATTAACATATGCTTAATTGAATCTCACCATATTTAAAACCTAGTTAAATATAGGTTTAATTTAAAACCTCAATAAATCAATGCAATGCTGCATTCAGTAAATATATGGTCACTAAGTATACTTTTTAAAATCAAAATTACAGTTAGCAAAGTCTCCTAAATACTAGCAGCACTAAGAAGTAAAAATAGTTATTTTGAAATGTAGGAGATTGCTGCAGGCTTTTCCTACTTGATTTTGAGAAGTCGTGTTGAGTGCACAAGGCACAGCATGTGGCATGGGGACAAGCTCGGTAACAGAGGTGAGACTACCTTTCCAGTGACAGTCTACTCACGGTGGCTCTAGAAAGATAATACAACTAAATACTACCTTTGTTAAACTTCCCTGAATGAGGATTGCTACTTTCATTACCGAGGCACTCTTGAGAATCTTTCTTGTACAAGTCCAAAGTTTTTATTTTTCCCTAACAGCCAACTTTTAACCTAAACTTTCAATGCAAAGTTAACAATACATGTTTAGTGAAACCTGAAATACAGCCTGGTACCCAAACAGTAACACTGGTTGTGGCCCCCACTTCTGGAGAGCACTGTGGCCGTCCTCAGATGAAGAAAATGCACGGTGACCTCTTTACTCAGCGTGTGCTACACCACTTGATTTGCCAATTACAGATTAGTAATTTTATTTACTTTTGACATTGACACAAAGATGTGACAGTGATTTTCAAGATTTCTTTTAATTCAGAGACAAATATTCAAGATAATTTCTTTAAAAAATAGCTCCAGAAACATGATCAATTTTAGATGACTATGGCTAAATAATTAAAATAGGTGTTTCTTATCCTACCAAATATTTAGCCAAAAGTCATAGCAAGTACGTTAATTTTTAAAATAAGTCATTCTTTACAAATGAAGTTATAACTAAAAGAATATTGCACACTATTACTATATAATCAGAAACATTTTGTTTTATATATCTCACTTCTTAGTTTTGGAAAATGTATGTTTCTCCTTAATGAAAAGAAAACAGAATAGAGAAACCATGGTTCCATAGCACATAAAATATTAAATAATCACAATAAACTGCCACAGATATTACTTCTCTCTATCAAAAGTTACCTGCTAGTGAGCCAGAATACAATTTTTTAGTTTTGTACTTTTCAATAATATTATGTTTTTCAGTACTTCCCTAATGATGTAGAGATTTGAGTAAGATCAAGATGTAAGACATAATAGAAACTAGAGAAGCAATATTTACAAAAAGCAAAGACTCAGGATGAAAGACAATAATTTATAAGTGGCATGAAAAAGTGATTTTTTTATTAAAAATGAATTAATAGTGCTGGTAGTGTAGCTCAGTAGTACAATGCTTGCCTAGTAGGTGAGATTCAAGGTTCTATCCCACAGGACGCCTTCCCCCACCAAAAAAAAAGACAGATTATTAGTTGGGGCAATTTCCTCCAGGAAAACGATTACAAAAAATAAACATTTTGGTGTGTCTCTGAAACCTGCACTTAAACAGGAAACTACAATTATTTATCTAGTTAATTTTAACAGTTCTATAATACAGAACCTGTTTTATTAAAAAAAAATTACACACTTGTATGTGCAGGAAAAATCCTTTTGAATGCTTCTTTATAGGGAATTCCTATGTGCTGTTTTTCCATATGAAAACAGAAGAAAATAAAAATAGATTATTTTCAAAGAGGTACATTGTTCAGATTTTTACATTATTCTACAAATATTTTTATTCAATTAATGTAATGTTCCACAGAAGGGATTAGACAAGTGACTATCGTACAAATACTTGTTCAGGCATTTTATTGAATCAGTTCCTTATACAGGATCCTATAAACCTGTCTATAAATGGAATACAAAAAATATATTCTTGAATTTACCCAATTATCTCTTCTAAAATATTATCAAACTTATTTTAATTGTTGTCTTATAACATTATTTAATTTATTCCAACTCATGTGCAACACAAAAAAATGAACTTCATAAATATTAAATACCCATGATAACAGTAAACACCAAAACTGAAAGCAAGCTGCCTGCACCACAACTTATCATCTATACTTCCTATAAATATGAGGTTATATTATGCTACAGAATTACCCTATCAGATAAGACCTATGTAGCCATTAAGGCTTACCCACAATTTAAACTAAGTTGCTATAATGATATAAATAAAGCAAAACACTGAGATCTGAGAGTGGGACATAGAAAATAAATCATTAAGATATGGTATCAGCTTAATGTAAAGGTGCCTTAATTAACTGCCTGTGTATTTATCATGAATTTTTTTTGGTGTAACAGTTGCCCTGATAAAAAAGAAAACGAAAATGTAGTCCATGTCTTATACACAGGACTGTGAATTCCTAGAGAGAAAATACATTTAGCTCATTTTTTGCCACTAGAACCAAGGCTGACAAGTAGTACATGAGCATTAATGTTTGATGAATTAATGAATAAATGGATGGTTAACAAGGACAGAACCCATGAATGAACATTTCGGGTTTTTGTTTTACTCTAATGTTTCTTGGATTCTTTTCCTGTTAGTTCCTTCTGAGATCTGAATGGATACATTCCATATTCATTTAAGAATAGAGGCTTAGCTTGTTGCTCTGGGGAACAAGCAGTTGTGCAGGTGGCTGCTCAGTGGGGGAGGCCCAAGGGGCATGACAGGAAATAGCCAATTTTGCCAGGTTCCAACTCTATTCTATCAGAAAAGTTTTCCAGTAAGCCATTCTCAGATGACACATCTCTAGCTCTAAACAGAATGAACAGAAGCAACAGAACTGCTCTTCCCTGAGTCTACAATGAAAGCATAATCCAAGAGCACTTCATTAGTTGCCCATCTTCTATCCTGTAGCTATCCATGCTACCTCCCTTTCCATTTCACTGTTGCTTCCCTACATTAGAACTGTTCTTTCATAAATTAGCAGAAAAAAATTCAGCTAAAATGAGGTCAACATATAAGGAAATACAGGGATGTAAAAGCTGCTGGAATGTAAAATATGACACATTTGAGAGTGCTGAGGCACGTGAAATTCTATGATACTAGAAATATAAGTAACCTTAGCAAGATCTATTAATTTTCATACCGTACAGCACACCAGAACTTACAGTTAACAGACTTACTCAAAGTGATAAAGCTAGTTAATCACAGAAACCTGGCAATCTGGCTTCCAGTTGGGGTGTACATATAGGGATTTCTCACCCCTCGCAATGACTTAACCCTGTATAAAGGAATAGAAATGCACCAATTCATAGCATTGTGTACTTTAATACACAACATGTCTATAGCCATCACACTGCCTCCCACTGCTCCTACTACCATTCTTTATAGAGTTTCTTTAAATTAAAAATCCAATGAGAACATCACTGCCAATTTTTAATTCTCACAAATTTCAAGATAGGTAAGACTCTTTAAGATAGGTATTATTATTACGCCTTATATGGAGGCAAAGAATCTGAGATATAAACTGTTGGAGAATTGCATGGAAATTGCTATGAGTCACTTAAAATCAATGAGATAAGAATGTAGGCCTTCAAACTGCCAATCTTAATTTCTTAAAAATATAAGGTAAATCCCACCATGTCCAATTCATACTTCCTAAAGCACTCAAAACTTCAAATACATATACATACACATTCGTGTATATGTTCAAATTAACATTATTATGGAAGTCTGAATGACAGACCAAGTGCTTCCCTCGTTATCATATATGGGGATAACTTTCCAAAATATATATACCATTCATAAAAATCTGTCAGTAAAATACAAGCATGTTGCAAAACTCAAACTCATTTTTATTTGAGCATATAGAGAATGTCTTTACTAACAGCTGTTTAAAACACATATCACCTATTAAAAATAATTCCACCATAACAAAATTATTAACAGAGAGCTTTAAAGTACACATTCTCTTGCCTATCTTTAAAAGTGTATGATCTGATACCATATAAAGTCAAAGCTTTATGTGCTGAAATAGTATTTTTCAGGCAGCCTCTGAACAAAAGAAAAGTTAGCACACTTTTCTCAGTATTGTCAACCAACTGTTGCATGTGCCTTTGGGAAAAATTATCTAAAATCTGGCATGCCTTTCTTAATGAGTAATAAAAATACTAGCGCTTGTTATCCTATGAAAATCAAGTAAGGAGACATTACAATTTTCCATCAAATAGAGAAAAACAGTATATATCATAAACTATTACTTTTAGAAATGGGTACAAAACATTTTACATTAAAGAAACAGTCCAATATATTAACAGTTTTAAAACACTAATTGCCATACATAATATAATGCAGCTATGTTTTTCTAATGGTAATTTAAGATTAGTAGCACTTTTACTGACAAATTTTTGACCCTGAAGATATATGAAAGTGTCACCAATCTTAAAATTTTTAATTTGTCCTAAATTCGGTCCTATATCAAATTTAATTATTTAATTTTGACAGTGACTAAGTCAAA